TCACCCTGCATCCTGGCTCCACACCAGCCGCCTGGCCCCGCAGTAATTACAGAGAGCACCCAGCCTCAGGCCCGGCTGTGACGTCAGCCCAGAGCTTCCAGCTGGATGATCTCACCCCGCACAAGCGGGGACCGGGCGCTGGGATGTGGTGCAGGGGCCGGCCGGGGCCCAGCCTCCCTCTTGGTAGAGGGCGAGGTGGGTGGGGTCCGGTCACTCCGCTCAGCAGGCATCAGATTCAGGAACAACCCAGACGCCCTCCTGGGCCCTGCCGCCCCCTAGCTGTGTGCAGGGGCTGAACCCTGCGCCCGTTTCCTCGCCTGCCAAGTGGGTGGTGGTGACACCCTGCTGTGGTGAGGCTGCAGGTGCTCGTCGCACAGGGCGGGGGCGGGGGCGGGGGGGCATGCAGGCGGTGAGGGATGGGGAGTGCTGGTACCTCCATGTCCTTATTTTTAGCAACTGCCTCATGCGGGCACCGCTTCACATCACAAGGATTTCTCAGCCAGTGACTCACTGAATTCCTTCGCACCCCCACCCCACCCACGGGCCAGGCGGCCGAGCCCCAGAAGCTCACAGATGGCCCACCTGTTGGGGGCAGATCAGAGACAGGGGCCCTCCCATCCAAGGGGGGTTTGCAGTCATTCTCCAAGCCCCTGGGGGTGGGGGGGGGCGGGGAATTGGAGAACAGGTCCTCCCTGTCCTGCTTCGCATGTCAGACCCGACCCCCTGCCTGGGAATCGCACCTGCTGAGAAGTTTCACTGTTATCATCATCGTAACAACGTGGAGGCCACCGCTGTCCCTGTGTCCTCCTCCGGCAGCTTCCCTTTGCCTGGCACAGCACAGCGAGCTGCGGGTGAGAGCTCAACGCTGAAGAGACGGCCACCCAGCGCGGGAGGTGATGTGCCAGCTTCATAAGGGACAGCGGTGGCCTCCACGTTGTTATGATGATGTTAATAGTGAAACTTCTCAACAGGTGTGATTCCCAGGCAGGGGGTCAGGTCTGACATGTGAAGCGCAGAGGGAACCTGTTCTCCAATTCTCCGCCCCCCCAACCCCCGGGGGCTTGGAGAGTGACTACAACCCCCCTCGGGACACACCCGCAAGCAGGCGGCCCTGAGGTCCACTTTACAGGTGGGAAGGGGCAGTTCAGGGCTTGGGGGTAAGGTGAGAGCCCGGCCGGCGCTGGGGGCGAGCTCTGAGCGCTTGTAGGCGGCTGCAACCCGGGGCCATCGATGGCCTTCCCATCCATGGCTCCCGGTCCCTGGTCCCCTTCTGCTGTCCCGGGGGCG